CTGGTTTAGTGCAGATATAGGTGTTAATCGCTATGTGACATGGTAGGTCATTCCAATGATAAGGTGAATTTTGACGGATGTGTAAACAATCTTCGTTCCCACTGTTGTCCGGTTGTCCTAAAGTAACAAAACAAAATAGCTATCTGTAAGTATCCTATGTGTCTATACTGGGACATAATTGCTAGATGATTATATAAATAACATGCCTTGTCCCCAGTATGTGAAAGAGAACGGCTCCTCGCTATCCACCCAATTCCATGTTCCTTCACTGGAAATGTCATTTGCAGACAAGTATGTTCCGTAACCACCAAATAGATTCCCGTCTACAAAACGATATAAATCATTACAGAAACATCACCCAGGGAAGTCCAGAAGATAACTAACTAACGATATTGTTGCAACTTCAGAACATTGAATTCACCAAATGTGGTAAATTATTATTTTACAGTCAAATTAGAAAGAACTATGAATTACAAGACTACTTGAAATTTCCAATTAATAAATCTGTACATTCTAAATTAACAAAACTGAGAATTTCTGCACACCCTTTAGAAATTGAAATAGGCAGATATTCAAAGCCTTGTATCCCAAAAGAATCTCGTTTTTGTCACTATTGTAAAAATGTTGTAGAAAATGAAATACATTTCATATATGACTGTCCTATATATAAAGATTTGCGAAAAAAGTATTACCCTTTGAACATCTATAATTTAAATAATAACATGTTGAAGGAAAATCATTGTAAAGTACTTTGTAATCCTGACAATGCAGTTCATTCTAGAAGGCTATGCGAATTTTTACATGAATGTTTTGAATTGCGTTCTAAAAATAGAGCACAATAATATATATTTAATGCATTAATTAGTTTATCTCTGTCCATATTATACTGTTTATACTATTTGCATAATGATTATGTATAACTTCAAGTTGTAAACGTAGTTGACTTCACTGATTTGTACACTTGCATGTATGTATGTACTTTAGTATATGTTTTAGTAATCTGAAAACACACTGTATTTTTCATTTTGTTTGTAACATGGTTGTATGCCAACATGTTTGATGAATCAATAAATTGAATTGAAATTGAAATTGTTATAGTTGACAAGTTCTTGTTACGTCACTAATTTTGATATCGATTCCCTTTTGAATCAAGCTTTAGACAGGAATAAACCAGAGTGGATTTGATACTTTAGATTTCAGAAACTTTAATGTAACATCAGGAAAAGAACAAGATTTGTTTCTGAAACACTGATGTCCACGTATGGAAGCTAAGGTCAAGGCTTAATTTTTTTATATCTAGGTAAGAATTCAATTAAAAATGGTGGTAACAAAAGAAAGGTCTTGTCACAAGAAATACACAGGTGAAATATGAAAGCCCTAACACCAACCTTTCAGAAAGTATGGTCAAATTAAAGTTTTACAAAATCAGGTAATACTCCGGGATAATGAGGTCAAAAATATTGGTAGCAAAGAAAAGTTATTATCACAAGGAATACACAAGTGAAATATGAAAGCTCTAGCTCTTGCACCATACGTTCAAAAGTTAAAGGAAAGGGTAAAGTTTTTACTAATGTAGGTTAAACTCAAAGGTCAACGTCAGGAGGTCAAAATGTTGCAACCCAAAGGAAGGTCTTGTCAAAAGGAATGCACAAGTGATTTATGAAAGCTCTAGAACCAGTCTTTCAAAAATTATGGCCAAGGTTAAGTTTTTTCAAAAGTAAGTCAAACTCAAAGGTCAAGGTCAAAAATATTGGTACCCAAAGAAAGGTCTGGTCACAAGAAATACACATATGAAATATAAAAGCCCTAGCACAAACTGTCAAAGTTAAGTCCAAGGTTAAAGTTTGGTAAAATTTTGTAAAAGTAGGTCAAACTCCAAGGTCAAGAGGTCAAATGTGTTTATATATAAAGAAAAGTCTTGTCACAAGAAATACACATGTGAAATAAGAAAGCCCTAGCACCAACCATTCAACAGTTATGGGCATTATTAAAGTTTTTGCAGAGAGACGGATAGATTAACAGACAGACAGAGACGGACAGACCACAAACTTTATGCCCCCGAATCTTCGATTACGGCGGCATAAAAAGAATTTTTTGGCAAAGACCTGTCCGATAGTGATTGAGCTGACGGTTCATTTATTTCATTATACTGCATTGTTACTTTTGTGAAGATAACGAACAGTGATCAATCTCAGTAATCCTATAAACAAAATAAATCGTGAACAACAGGGCAAAATCACGGACCCCTGGCAAAAACACGGACCCCTGGCAAAAACACGGACCCCTGGCAAAATCACGGACCCCTGGCCAAAGCATGGACCCCTGGCAAAATCACGGACCCCTGGCAAAAACACGGACCCCTGGCCAAAGCATGGACCCCTGGCAAAAACACGGACCCCTGGCAAAATCACGGACCCTGGCAACAACAAGGACCCCTGGCAAAATCACGGACCCCCGGCAAAATCACGGACCCCTCGCAAAATCACGGATCCCCGGCAAAATCACGTACCCCTGGCAAAACACGGACCCCTGGCAAAACACTGAATCCTGGCAAAACACGGACCCCTGGCAAAATCACGGACCCCTTGGCAAAACACGGACCCCTGGCAAAATCACGGACCCCTGGCAAAACACGGACTCCTGGCCAAAGCATGGACCCCTAGCAAAATCACGGCCCCTGGGAAAAAACACGGACCCCTGGCAAAAACACTGACCCCTGGCAAAAACACGGACCCCTGGAAACACCATGCAGAGGTGGGATCATAATGTAAATGTTGAAATTTGAAAACACTGAACCTGCATTTTGCTATTTTATGTTTGACTAGCATGAGTACTTTGTACTTATGTTTTATTTTACATTTTTAAAAATTTTGAATTGTATTGAAAAATTTATTATCGGAAAGTATCGTGTAGCCCCTTTCAGTCTTGAAATAATTATCACGTGTGCGATATAAGATATATCGCTAAAGAAAGATCACAGGTATTTGATGTTAGTGATGTGACAAGCACGTTTAGCAGTGCATGCTCTGAAATATTGAATTCTTTTCGAAATGACATTATTTTTTAACTGAAATATGATCTTTTCATTCACTTTAAATGAAATAACAGATTGACGATAAAAGTATCATCTGATTGATTACTCAATCTACACTGAACTCACAAGTACTGACGATAAATTCTTGTGTGGCCTTATTTGGTACAATAGGTAGTGTTCCACCAAAGTTTGAACAAGTTGTACGAGCGGAGTGCCAGTCACCTCCACCTTGGAATGCCTTGTAACATTTCCCGCCAAAATATTCCCAACCATTTTCACATGTGAAATACACAGGCGTGATCCCTTAAAATCAACAGTAAAAATTGCATTTGGCAAACTGAATGACAATTTATTGAAAAACTTAACTTCAAATCAAGCCAGATTTACTTGAAAGGTACACCAGTTTATGTACATAAAATGGCAGATATATGCAACTTGAAGTAAATTGACAATATGTTGTTATTAAGCGGTTTATCAAGTCAGGATTAAACGTTTTCTTTAAACAAAAAAAATGTTTAAGTAGACCTTAAAGCTATCAAATTTTGATAAAATTCATTTTATGGCAATGTTGTAAAATTGGCGTCGGATCAACTTTTTTTTTTAAATTTCCTTTAAAAGGACAAAAGCCAGGACAGGATTGTGGAAAGTAAATATCTAAGCGATCATAACTTAAAAGCTTTCTTTTTTACCGGAGGCCACTGGGCAGGATTCAGCAAACGCATTCTGTCCCAGAACACAGTCAATACGGAAATAAATTTTCAGTAAAAAGTTATAATTCTCGACAATAGATATATATTGATGTTAAAAGTATATAGTATTTCGTTCCCAAAACAATAAAACTACTTCCACCTTAACGCATAATTTTTTTTTTTTTTTGTCTAATTTATTTTGGTATACCAAACATGATGTGTTTATGAAACACTTATGCCCCCGTATGGCAGCTCATGGCCAAGATGTAAAGTTTTTTTTTCAAATTTAGGTCAAACCTCAAGGGAAAAAGGGTCAAAAATGTTGGTACCCAAAGGAATACAGATGTGAAATATGGAAGCTCTTGCACTAACCATTCAGAAATTATGGCCAAGGTTAAATGTTTTCAAAAGTAGGTCGTAATCAAAGGTCAAGGCCATGATGTCAAAAAATATTGCGGGTACTTTAGGAAAGGTCTTAAATTTGAAAAGCTTCAACCTTGGCTTAAACTTCTGAACAGTTTGTGCTAGTGCTCTCAGTTCACATGCATATTCCTTGTGTCAAGACCTTTCTTTAGGCATCAAAACTTTTGACCTCTTGACTTTGAAGTTTGGTCTATTTTTGTAAAATTTTGCCTGGGTCATGAGGTGTCAGACGGGGGCAGCAGTGTTTCACAAGCACATTTTATTGTATTCCTCGATTGTATGTGTCATTTTGAGTAAATCATTAGATTACAAGTATCATGCATTTGTGTTATTCCTTACTCCCGTGATTACTACTCGGCGTAATGAACTAAAAAAAATGACCGTCAATACACAAGTATATAGTGAAGATCACAAATTCTCGATAAAATGAAGCACTGTATACTTCACTATTTCAGTTACCAAAAAATAAATCATCATTTTTCATCAAATCGTATTATTAGGATATATAGATAATCAAATACATCATGTTATTCTGACCTTTTAAATGTAATCCCAACCAAAGTAAAAGATAAATAATCCACAACATTATCGAATGTCGACGATGGATATTTTAAAAGTGTTTCCCTTCCTTCTTTGATGACATTCGGCTAACTCTGTCGAACTATTATAAAAGAAATGGAAAGCAGAATGAATATTTTGATTTTCATTTTTTAAAAAATATATGATGACCATCCACTTTGAAACTAACGTTTTAAGGTTGTATTTATTTATTATTCTTTTTTAATAATCCGTAAAAAGAAATAAATGCTTTTCCGGAAGATGTTGACCCATTTTGGGTTTGTTCAGTTTAGCGTGCGAATTTGATTTCCTCTTCGTGAAACGATAATGACAGCAGTGGATGTTTTTGTTGGAAATTACACGTTGATTGATTTCGAACTGTACGACTTATGGTTAAATGGTTACTCTGGTAAGGCTTATTTATATCTCAATCTCTGTTTGTTCAAAGTCACGACTATGGATGTCAATAAATCACTATTTAGCTCATACGTACATAGTTGACAGGTCTGGTACAATCACTAGATTTAGCTACGTAGCTTGAATTACCTACATAGCTTTATTTACCTACCTGAAGTAGCTTTATATAGCTTCTAAATCAAACTTATTTCTTAACTAATAATTTTTCCCAGAAAGTGCAGAAAATTGCACTTTGATGCAGTGATAATTTTCAACTTTGAACTCATCTGAAAACAATTCATGAAAAAATCACTCTTGGAGATGTGTCTTTTTTTGCGCAATTGCAATCAAAGTTCTAAAAGTTTTGGGGCTATATACAACAGTTAATTTGTGACCTAACAGTTACTTCTTGAGTGTAATAACAAAGAAAACCAGTTTTGGTTAACATGAGCACAATGTGAAGTAGTCATACTTATCCACGCCTCATCGCACACAAGGTGTGTACAGTTACTCAAACAATGGGAATACATATTTTCCTTAAAAGTGATCAAACGCAGCAATGTTAAAACTATCTCTGCTTTAGATTGCTTTTTAAATGATACCTAGAATAAATATTAGTAGACATTTTCTTGCGACTTTTTGTCTTTTTAAAATAAAAAGCAAAATTGTGAAAAGTTGCCTTGAAATAGCTAGGTGAATAAAGCTACGGTAGGTAATTTTAGCTACGTACGTAGCTAAATGTACTGATTGTACTGGACCTGGTTGACATTAACAGTTATGAGGACGTTTTCATTTTAATCGAAATACCTAGATAAATATTGACCATCTGCTTAAAATTCGCTGAATATGTAATACTCCTTTAAGAGATGAAGAGAGTTCGATATTGCACTACAGACAGGGACTTGCTGTAGACACACCACATGTGGCTGACAAGAAATATTGCATACATGTAGGTCTTAAAAAAATTTAAAAGAAACACTACGAGTTCTTAAATCAACCATAATTATAAGCCCATCTCGGAGTTAAACTGCAGTTTTCTAGTTGATTTCAATTTTTTTGGAGTTTGAATTAGCATATATGTCATTTTTATGTCGTGATTAGTAAGAAAATATTATACATAAGCTAACCTAAAGTATGTTTCTTGTTTTAATTGAAATGTTATTCCTAAACAAAATCAAACTTATTAACCATATAGAAAGTTGCTATCAAAGAGTGAATTTTAATTTGTGATTCACAAACAATAAACAACTTGAACTTTTTAGAGTTTTTCCATATTGTAAAATTGTCAAATTAATTAACCAACAACTTCCTAGTACAGTGATGGATGCTTGTAGTATTTCAAAGCACATGGGCCATGCAGTGCCTGGAAAGGCCCCTAAATCCAAGGCAGATTACGCTGAGTTGAGTTAAATCATTGATTATTTTCCAGGGGACCTTTAGTTTTCATTGACTGGCAGGTCCTGTGGACCAAAGGCCAAGAACTTATGACTAAGATCAAAAACTTAAGTTGATTGTAAAAGTTTGCTAAATCAATGATTCTATTTAAAATTGCTCTAATAAAAATACTAGTGTCTGTTTAAAAATGCTTGCATTAAATTGTCTTTATAAATTCCCTTAAAAAAGATTAAAACCAAGTTCATATTTATGTATAAAAAAGTTATTCTCAATATTACATTTAGGTGTTAGTCGTAAGTTTTCTGTAAAATGGGGTCCAGTGATGTAAAATAAGTTTGGCAAAGACTTTGCCTCATGCTATTTTGAGATAAGAGAGAGACAGACTCAGATACAGAGAGAGAAAGAGTGGAAGGGCCCTTACTTTCATTTTATTCAGAATACATGGTAGATATATCATATAATTTAATCTTTGAAAATGTTTATGGTTAATTGTTTTAGTAATTAAATTTTGTACTAAATCTGACTACAAAGTGTATGCCCATTTTGTTCCAGCTCATGATGCAGCTCTGTTCCTGCAGAAAAGTGGGGTCCTACAGAAGGCCGATGTTTCCATGGAGATCGTGTACAGTGACATTCAAGATCAGTACAGGCTGTTCACAAGTATGGAAAAACTTCTGAAGTCACCCCCTAAATTAATTGATCAGCAGATCTACCAAATGGAAACAGATATGCAAAAACGTGTCATTGAAAGGTAAACTTACTTGTTAATTTTCAAGAATATTTCGGTAATTTAATGAAGTTGAATAATAATTTTAAAGCTTGCAGTTATTGAACTTATTAATCAAGTACTTAATTAAATATGTGATGTTTTGTTGAAGGTATTATAGGTTTGATTCTGTGGTTGTCAGAGAAATACTTGGTAAGAAACTGTCCTCCAGAAATAGAAAGGACATGGAGGATGTCAGTGAAAAAACAAGAATTCCAATTCGTAGCTGTAGAAGACAGGTACAAAAAAACTCAAGTGTCTTAATACCTTTAGAAAGAGTTGTTTATCTCTATTTTTTGCAATTTTAAAAAACAGTTTACAGGTATTTTAAAATCAAGTCAATTAGAAGATTTGTTTTGTATGATACTAAATGACAACAATATTGAAAAAAATATAATAATTTTGCAAATAAAAACATTAAAGAAAATATGCAGGTAAAAATTGGAAGAATATTTGTTGATTTTAACACCAAACACATCAATAAATCATCATTCCTTCGTGGTTCTATTAACAGCACATATTTTCAATTACAGTTTGACAATCTAAAACGGGTCTTCAAGACTGTAGAAGACATGATGGGATCATTAGTGGAGAACATCAAGACACATTATCTCCTGTCTGAAGATCTGGCAAGGTAAGAATTCAGTAACATCAAGACACATTATCACCTGTCTGTAGATTTGGCCAGGTAAGAATTCAGTAACATCAAGACACATTACCTCCTGTCTGAAGATCTGACAAGGTAAGAATTCAGTAACATCAAGACACATTACCACTTGTCTGAAGATCTGGCCAGGTAAGAATTCAGTAACATCAAGACACATTACCTCCTGTCTGTAGATCTGGCCAGGTAAGAATTCAGTAACATCAAGACACATTACCACTTGTCTGAAGATCTGGCCAGGTAAGAATTCAGTAACTTCAAGACACATTACCACCTGTCTGAAGATCTGGCCAGGTAAGAATTCAGTAACATCAAGACATATTATCACCTGTCTGTAGATCTGGCCAGGTAAGAATTCAGTAACATCAAGACACATTACCACCTGTCTGAAGATCTGGCCAGGTAAGAATTCAGTAACATCAAGACACATTACCACCTGTCTGAAGATCTGGCCAGGTAAGAATTCAGCAACAACAAGACACATTACATCTGTCAGAAGATCAGGCCAGGTAAGAATTCAGTAACATCAAGACACATTACCTCCTGTCTGAAGATCTGGCCAGGTAAGAATTCAGTAACATCAAGACACATTACCTCCTGTCTAAGCTCTGGCCAGGTAAGAATTCAGAAATTGTTTTTCTAGATATCTAACAGTTAAATACAAACCTAATGTAGAGTTCAGGAGCATGCTTCCTGGATATCTTATAATTAAATTCAATAACTATCTCACAATTAAATACAAACCCAGTTTAGAATTTAGTAACATGCTTCTTTGATATATCACAATTAATTAATTATGTATGAAGTTCAGGGATTCAAATAAACAACACAAAACAGTAAAATTCAGAAAAAGTGCCTGCTAAATATCTGTTTATAAAGCCCAAAACAGAGTATAGATAGAGGTCTGTGAGAAATTTCCAAGATGTTCAAAGGTGACAGCACTTACTGAATATTTAACAAATTTTAGACAATGGAAAAATGATAGGAATACTTCTTAGTAATTATAAGGTAAATGAAGGTATATCTTCACAAAGTTATGTAACTCTGTCAACCTTAAGAGGCTCATATCTCATAAAATAGTAAAAAATATATAGTAGTCATGTATTAATCTCAAGATACCGGTATCTTTTTGCATAAACTGAATTGTATTTCATTCGCAGAGTTGAATTATTCACTATTAATGTACAGTCAAACCTTGTTATCTCGAACTCCATGGGACCAAGGAAAAACTTCAAGATATCCAAGGATTCGAGATATAGAGGATAAAATACTTAAATAATAAGTGGTTTGAACTTCTAAATCATGGTATTTGAAATATCTGTGTTCGAGATACTGAAGTTCAACTGTATTTGTTCTTCTTTTGATATTTTAGTCATTTTGAGCTTTGAAAAAAGACTCCACCCCCAGTGAACAGTTTATCTTGTGCATTTCATTCAGTTTAAACAAAATTTTATGAAGCATAGTAAATGTTATTGAATCTCTTATTTAAACATTAAACAAGATAAACAGAATTTTATTTATTTTATATCTGTATATGTGAACTCTCTTTATTGTGTTGTTTGAACAGGCAGTATGCAGCCATTGTCTTCATTGCTAACAACAGATTTGAGACTGGAAAGAAAAAACTCAGCCACCTGACATTTGAGGACTTTGTGTTCTGTGCTAACCAGATGATAACAAACTGGTCCTACAGCTCTGTAGGTAAGAGAACTTTGTAACCAGATAATAATAAACTGGTCCTACAGCTCTGTAGGTAAGAGAACTTTGTAACCAGATAATAACAAACTGGTCCTACAGCTCAGTAGCTAAGAGAACTTTGTAACCAGATAATAACAAACTGGTCCTACAGCTTTGTGGGTAAGAGAACTTTGTAACCAGATAATAACAAATTGGTGCTACAGCGCAGTAGTTAAGAGAACTAGATAATCAGATAATAACAAACTGGTCCTACAGCTTTGTGGGTAAGAGAACTTTGTAACCAGATAATAACAAACTGGTCCTACAGCTCTGTAGGTAAGAGAACTTTGTAACCAGATGATAACAAACTGGTCCTACAGCTCTATAGGTAAGATAACTTTGGGATGTGTTTATTTTGATCCACTGAGGGAACAATTGATGCTTATTCCTGACACACCAGTTGTGTGTGCCTTGGGAATGTGTCACACCAAATACCCAGTAAACATGAAGGTCACCTGAACAAAAAGTATTTAATTGTTTTCAAAGTGTTACATTGTTTAAAGACATATTTGATTAAAACAGTGTCTTAAAGTATGCTTGAAAGCCATTAGAGCAAAAGAAATTTAATGAATTGTTGATAAATTCAGGGATAACATTGTTTTCCAAAAAAACCCTTACTTACTAATCCCCTGTAATGTCGTAGAAAAACATTTCTTGTAGAATATACAAATTTATGTAATTTATGCAGCTAGAATTTTTTTTTATTGGAAGACTTTTTATAATATCCCAGATTTAAGGTGCTAGACCTGAGACTATTTTTGAAAAGACCTTTATAGGGCCATCTTTAAAAAGTCTTGTGGGTCCTTATATTTTGCCATATTGATAACTAGGGGGACCCTATTTTTCACCAATTTCTTTTTTTTTTCTTTTTTTCTTTTTTTTTTTTTTTTTACAAATTTATCTTAAACCTACAAGAATTATTCAAAGAATGATATTCAGTCATTGGTCTTTGCAAATAAACTAATACCCACCACCACCAGCACCATTTCACATAAATTAATCAAAATAACTTTAATTTTTCTTTTTAATTTTTAGTTGTATACTTGTAAAAAAAAAAAAAAAAAAAATTGTTAGATTCCTTGAAATAATGAAAAATTCAGCTTATGGGTTTGCCTCGTTCTATTTTCAGGAAAAAGAGTAAAGTCTGTGAAAGATCATTTTCTATCTCCATTTAAAGATTTTTTGCCTCAAATAAAAAATACAGAATTTATTTATAGTTTTTCCAATGATATCTGTTAAAGTTTTTTAAAGAATAAAAAATTATTATTTTGTTGTATTTCTGTTGTGCAATTATGGATAAGAAAACTCCTGAAGTTCACAATCCTTCTTGAAAATCTTATTAGTAAAAATTTCTCTTCTCTATATAAAAAATCAGATGATATCAGAACATGTGATGGACACAAAAATTATCTTAAACATCAGAGGTTTATGTAGTTATCAATATATAACCATCAAGAAAAACATATTGATGATTGATTGTTTTACGTGGTTGATGATAGTATCTGTTCTAGAGATAGATTTTTTGTGACTTTAAGGAGGCTGGGGGGTCAACAAATTAACCACAAATTAACCACCAGATTTAACTTAATTTTTTAGATATGATATCTTAAGCTGTCAACTATCATTTGGCAAAGAAAAATTTCAAAAATTTTAGTTTTAAAATTTGATCATTTTCTATATCTTCATATGGAGCTCTTCTTCTAAAGGAGATCAATATAGTCTAAAAATGGCCACAACCCCCCAGCCTCCTTAAGGAAGCTGTTTATTTAAATTGACAAAGAGGGAAAGTGCAAACATAAGATTTAAGTAACAAAAAAATAGATAGAGGATATTCAATGCTTTGTAGTTGGATATGGAATTTATTTCATGACTGGGACAGAATTTTTTCATATTTTCACAAGTGCAAAGTATGAGTGAAAATATCAAAAAGTCCTGTTTTACAAGTGAAATAAATTCCATATCCAACTACAAAACATTGAATTTTCTGTTTATTACATTTTCTTTGAATTTCCCTTTGCCTCTGTCTTTTCTTAAAACAGTGTCATAAGCTATGACGTCACAGTTGAGCAGTTGAGACATCATAGCTTTGCAGTTGTGAGATTGAAACCATTGTAAACATTGGATTTCATCAACATAATTGAAGAAACTTTTGCAGTTTTAGTCTCTGTGTCAAGATGGTTTATTAACTCTATCTTATAACAAGCCAGGGAGTATTTTTTACAACACTCTTCTTGAAGGGTAGGAAAATCTCGAAATTTGCTGCACTTCTGATAATCTGTCACACTGTAAAAATTATATATTATTTAGGAACATATCGTCTGTCCTTAAGAAATGAGAATTGTTATGTTTATGTGGAGTGGATCAGGAACCCTTGACTTGGGAGGATAACTTTTACACGAGCAATACATTTAGTTACAAAATCAAATGTATACATTTATACACAGATTGTCTACAAAATAATTATTTGAGTCTTGTTTTGGTATCTAGAATGTAAAGTGCATGAAGACATGGATGTTGATTTAGACCGGAGATTTCTTCAGGATTTAAGAGAACTCAAATTGATTGCAGAAAAAGAGGTTCTAGATGACCATAAAGGGTGAGACTTTACTGATTATAAAAATGTTAACATTGTAAAGTTTAACACTGTAAAGTAAAGTGTTAACATTGGAAAGTAGTGTTGACATGGTAAAGTAAAGTGTGTTGACATTGTAAAGTGTTAACATTGTAAAGTAAAGTGTGTTAACACTGTAAAGTGTTAACATTGTAAAGTAAAGTGTGTTAACACTGTAAAGTGTTAATATTGTTAAAGTGTTAACATTGTAAAGTGTGTTAACATTGTAAAGTGTTAACATTGTTAAATATATACATTTGTGGTATCTCTCTATTATATAAACATGCAGAGAGCAAATATCTTCATACCTGTATGAAGTTTTTCGAAGGTCATAGGTCATTACGTGACCTAATCACACAGCGCAGTAATATCTACTGTAACATAAAAAGACTTACTCCACTAAGCAATATAGCATGTTTTTCATGCATAAAAATGTACAAAATACGCAAGTAAAATAATAATCATTTTATTTACAATGTAAATGAGTATTTAATACAGTTCTTGATCGATTTTACATAGAGAATAGAAAACTACGTGTTATAAGTTTCATGTCTGAGCTGCATAGTCTCAACGTTTACCCTTATTTTTCTCGCAGACCTCTGAATGCTATAATTTTTTTTCCATTAAACTTTACTCACAATATATTTGAAAATCTGTTGGAAAATATCAATGTAATGCAATCATGCCACAAACAGCTGACAAACACTGCACTTTGGAAGTTCGGTAGGCACACCTCCATCATCGAGATCGTTGTGACGTTGTCTTAACATGTAAGCTGTCGCCAGTGTCTCCATGTCAACATCATAAATTAATAAATATGCCTTACTGAAATCGTAGATTTTATGTTTTTGATCAAATTTTGTACTTGATTTCAAGTTATCTGGTCCGGACAAGAGTCTCCATCCATCCCTTTCCGACCGAAATTCCTCCAACTTTTTAGTATCAAACATCGGACGTGTTTCTTGTGTTTTTTAACATCGAATATGGGTTCTCATGAATACAAAAATTCCAAAAAGACACCAATATGCTCACTATAATAATTTATCACAAGAAGCCTTTCACAGAATATTCCCTTCAAAACAATCCTTTGCCAGATGAATTTGAAGCCAAACCGCTTTTCAAGCCGATTTACACCTAGCGTAATTTGTCAAAATCTACGACGTACAGTTAGTGCAATATTTATATTCGATTACATTCGATTGTCCGTCTCAAATGTATATATAAGTAATAAATAACAAGTTTAAAAACTTCAATGGGAATTGAAGTGGGTCGGTACGTAATCAAATCTTCTGAGAAGGCCTTCGGCCTTCACAGGATTTGATCACGTGACCGACCCACTTCAATTCCCATTGAAGTTTTTAAACTTGTTATTTATTTCTTAAGTAAAGTGTTAACATTGTAAAGCAGTGTTAACATTGTAAAGCAAAGTGTTAATATTGTAAGATAAGAGTGGGTTAGTTACAAATTAGACAGTCTAAAAATGATATCATAGTTTTATTTTGAAGCAGTGTGATGAGATTTATTAATACTTGTTGTGTTGACATGGATTGAATAAATGATGTACATTTAAAAACAATTTAAATCAAGAAGATATGTATACCGCTTCCAGTGTCTTTTAGTTGTTTTTGATCTAGAAAATAACAAAGAATACATTCTCAATTTGGACTTTTTTAAAAACAAAGTAGAGAATTTTAATTTCAGATGAACCACTGAACTAATTATTAAATCTTCTCTACTATACAGGCAGGTAATCAGTCATCTGAAGCAGACCATGTCTAAAAAATCAAGACAAATAGTGGAGGAATCTTTTAAGGTAGACCTTGATGTGCTGTCATTTTTATGAATGATATATTTTATCTTTCAGCAATTGCAATTGGTTGTTACATTTCCCTAATTATAGAAATATAGTTGCCTGTAAATTTATGCAGGTGAATTGTCTTATTGTTTGATTCATGATTTATCTTGTATTCATAATGCATGTTTAAGATTTAATTTGAAATTTATACGTCACCTGGATCACTCAGGTGAACCATTACTGTACTTTCCAGCCTTTACTATGTTTTGTTTTCTTTTTGCTTTTATTGCCAAAGTTAAAATTATGAAATGCAAATAATGTAACATAGTACAATAAGGAATTTGCACATGACACAACTGGCTTATATGTGAGAATTATGGAGGTTAGGAGGTACCTTTGGTACTTACGTACCTGACTGTCAAGGCCCACGGGTGTCTTGGAATAAAATAGCAGTAGATTGAAGATTCTGCATGAGCTGTGGTTTTGAGATAATTTTTTTTTTTATCATTGAAGAACTGGTCCAAGGCAATTATAAACATTGCTTGTGGTTTGAATCACAGCAAAGATGTCCGAGATATATTCTTAGACTTAGTGGAGAAGGTAAGCTGATAGTATTGCAAAGTTTGAATTCTCTGGTGTAGAAAATTACTATTTTTGTAGGCACGGATCCAGGATTTTGTATTATAGGAACACTATTAGATGGCAAGGGTTCTGGGTACCTTAAATGTCCCCAGTAAGTCAAGGACAATGTTCAGTGGGCTGTAGAGCCCACCATAAGCTAAAAACAATCAGCAATTAATAAGCATTATTTGGCAAATAAATGTCTGTAATTTTACTTATAATACACTGATGTATGACAGTAAAAACTATTTTCTGAAATATTTTTTGTTGTTTAAATTCTTTGAAAGGGGGGGGGGGGGCACCCCTACCTGAATCCATGCCTGGTTTGCAGAACTAGGATTTTAATTGTCAACCTACATGTATATCACACTAAGATAGAAACAATATCAAAGTAAATATTAAAGAATGTTGTTTATACTATTCTAATTATGTCTCATGTCTACAGGTGACAGAACCCTGCTTGTCTGTGGGTCTAACTGCTCCAGACATGAACACATTCCTCAGTGCTTACAAGGACACTATTGTCAAAATGGATGTCTTCAGGTAATCTTTGATTTAAAGTAATTCAGAAAGCAAACTGTAAAGCCCCTACAAATTTCCAATTAAATGACATTGGCTGTTTTGTTATTTCATGGTTCTCCAATTTATTGGTTCAGCCTGATTTATTGGGGGTAGAGTAAGCTGATTACTTTAAGTAAAGATATTTTATTTTGATTGCAGACATCAGCCTCACATGTTAGTGGTGTGGGACAGATACATGAAGACTTTAATTCTATGTGTACTACAGATCTACCACACCTGACAGCCATTATAACATCAAAATTAAGACGAACATGCTTATAGGCAGCTGCTAGTATTAACTGTCAATGTTTACAGACGGCTGCTAGTATTAACTGTAAATGTTTACAGACAGCTTCTGATGTAAAGTGTAGATGTTTACAGACAGCTTCTGGTGTTAACTGTAAATGTTTACAGACAGCTGCGGGTGTTAATTGTAAATGTTTACAGACAGCTTCTGATGTAAAGTGTAGATGTTTACAGACAGCTTCTGGTGTTAACTGTAAATGTTTACAGACAGCTGCGGGTGTTAACTGTAAATGTTTACAGACAGCTTCTGATGTAAAGTGTAAATGTTTACAGACAGCTGCTAGTATTAACTGTAAATGTTTAGAGACAGCTTCTGATGTAAAGTGTAGATGTTTACAGACAGCTGCTAGTATTAACTGTAAATGTTTACAGACAGCTGCCGGTGTTAACTGTAAATTTTTACAGACAGCTTCTGATGTAAAGTGTAGATGTTTACAGACAGCTTCTGGTGTTAACTGTAAATGTTTACAGACAGCTGCTGGTGTTAACTGTAAATGTTTAGACAGCTGCTGGTGTTAACTGTAAATGTTTAGACATCTGCTGGTGTTAACTTTAAATGATGTTCACATATATATTTCTCTGGAGTGTCTTCAGCACACAGAAATGGAGAGAAAGCTGATTACCTGTCAACAAAAGTTAGCTAAATGTTTACCCACATAGTAGTGGGTAGAAGTTAACTAAATGTATACCTGTATAATAGTGGGATGGAAGTTTTGATAACACATCAGGTGTCAATATGTCAATGTTTTGATAGTTAGCTGACTGAGGACAAGATGTCATGCCTGAATCAAGAAGAGTCCATTGTCTGTTCAAATATCTGTTTTTTGTTAACATTCTTCAAAATGCCGTTCACTTAAGTTTTTTGTCTGATTTCATCAAAATTCTGTATTAAGTAGGATGTATGAATTTTTATTAGTTTATTGTACTTACTAGATAATTTTGATTAATGGTTTGCTTTTGTTACTTAAAACAGGATACTTTTTTTAATCATCCCCCCAAAAAACATAAGGAGATGTAACTGATTATATAAATTTTCTTTGTTCAGATTTGACTGAGGCCTGGTAGAACTTCTAGAGACATATTTTTATATAACATTAAATGTTTCTTTCCATTTACTGTTAAAGTTATACCCTGGGGCTAATGTAAAACTCTTTAAAATGTAATATATGTTAATCAATTTATAATTTGATGAACATGTAGTTTATGTAAAAAAAAATGTTCCAGAAACTTCTGAGTACAGTTGTATTGTACAGTTACATATGTTAATAAGAATTTTAAAAATTTCAAGGACTTGAATTTTGTGTCCTGTATTCAGTAACATTTTTATCAATACTGAAGTCAGAGGAAGCCCTCGGCTAACTGATCATTGATGGATGTTTTGACAAATGAAGTCTTAAATTTGTTTATTGACTTCATAAATCATGACTGCCTCCAGGCAAATCAAGCCGTGAAGTCAAAATACAAATTACATCTGGACATTTAACCAGACTAGATTTTCCCTAATTTTTAAAGTACGCTCTTTTAGTAATTTTACATTGACCTTCATAAAGAAATTGAGGTTCCTGTTTCATAGTAGTGCAGATATTGTCATTTTAAACCATCGTCCATTTGAGTGATAGCATTGAGAGAATAATGATAATGTGCAACATGGTTGAGCCTTACCATTTTACCCAAAAATTAGATTGTAATATATCAAGTTAAAACTGACCATTTAACCAGACTAGAATTTCCCTAATTTTGAAAAGTACGATATTTTAGTAATTTTACATTGACTTTCATAAAGAAATTGCTATGCATGTTCTATATTTTTCATTACATTTTACTTAAATATAATTTACTGAAATTTAGTAACAGAAAAAAAGCATCGCACACATTTGCATTAAATCAATCGGTAATTTAAAATATCTTCTTACAGAGGTCTGATAGGGCTTATTTCAAACTATGCTGGCAATAAATATGCGGTTTAATTTATTTCAAATTATATATAAAGAGAGATTTTGTATCCTTGAACAAAATTTCTCAGTTTCAAAAAATTGAATTTGAGGAAAAAATTGGCCCATCTATTGTGTACTACCAACGTCCATTTGAGTGATAGCAATGAGAGAATAATGATAATGTGCAGCATGGTTGAGCCTTACCATTTTACCCAAAATTAGATTAATTTGAACCTAAATGACTTGAAATCCTTACGACATGATGTAGGAATCGGAGTTTCGTGAAACTGTCTATTTCCTTTTTTTTTTCAATCTGAATAAGTTGCCCGCGTTGCGCAGTAGTTAGAGCGTCTGCTCTATAATCGCGGAGTTAGGAGTTGATCCTTACGTCGCGGGTTCGAATCCCACTGCGGGACGTGGAGACCGGTCCTTCGGATGAGACCATATAAACTGAGGTCCCGTGTCGCACTACGTGTTGGCACGAAAAAGATCCCTCATTGCTCAATGGCCCTGAGCGCCGAGCATAGGTCAAAATTTGCAGCCCTCCACCGGCAAGTGGTGGCGTCTCCATATGAGTGAAAAATTCTCGAGAGGGACTTTAAACAACAAACAATCTGAATTGCATTCTGTACGCGATATGCATCTCGCTTCATACACGGCCACTGTGTCCGGGATTATTCGTATAACTGGGAGATAATTTCAACACAGAAGTTTTATTACGATGAATATGTATTTTTAAAAAAGTTTACAGATTTTAACTCTCTTATTTTGTCTTGCTTATTCTGTGGCACCAAAATGCAAAATGCATGCACGTGAACGACCAGGAAAAGTAATCAATTTTCTAGAATATATTATGAAATACATGCAAGAAAACTGAAGTCATTTACATTTTATACATCGCTGTTTGTATATTGCCCAGAGAGTAGTGTGTAACAACATCTGTTACTTAATAATAAATTAGTTTTCAATTATAAAACTTGCTTATTTGACTGTCATAAATTAAATGTCACACGCACCTGGTTATAGCATAGGTCAGGGTCACACTAGTTCATATCACAGGGAGTCGATTCATTAAAATCTGTACATTAACGATTTAAAGTCATTCATGACAAACGTACGCTGAATGTCAGTTTTTTTTAAACTTTGAAATAAACAAGTTATCACTGGTATCGTCGGTCGTTATCTGACACAGACATATGTAAAGTACATGTATATGCGCTGCACATTACTTGAAATTAACAAAACAAACATGGATAAATGAGGGAAGTTCAAGGGTAAAACAATTAATTAAGAGAAACTACATTTTTTACGTCACAAACCCGTGGTTTTGAGGTAAACGTGTCTACAATTAAATCTTGTTTTTGAAATGTTTCTTTTGTTGGTTTATTGTTTCTATGTGGATATGCTGAGAAAAAATTGATTTGTGAAGAGCTTGAAAGCTATTCTGATGAAGAAAAAATAAATAAAATTCAGTTGTTTTCGTGGTTTCTAAACAAAATGTATTTCCTTTCATTTTCAATTCATTCTTTTTGATAGCAATTCTATTCATTTATTAGTTTATTCCCCTCCGATTACAGGCCCCGATGAACAGCGGGTACAAGGGGCGTGACCACTATAATTTTGCCAGTATATACTATTCTATAGGAAACGAGGCTAATTTAAAGGTTTTCCCCATCAACAATAACGCCTGATAACTTTTTTTAAAATTATTTTAATTGTGCTTATCATGGATATTTTTTGTTAAGTGATGCCCCTTCAAAATAATTTCTTAGGTTGGGCCTCCCTGGACTTAAATTGCCTCCAATGGGCGTGGTTTATCAGTGTCGGATTTAAGGGGCGGGGGGCAACCCCCCCCCCTAAAATTGTCAAAGTTAGCGTAAGTCATAGTTTCGTCGAGAAAATGTAAAAATATCTACCTCATTTTCCTCCTACAATATCTCTAGAATCCAGGAGCTTCTGGGGGCTTCGTCTCCTGGGCCCACTGGGGGCCCCAAGGCGGCCCCAGACCCCCCTGCCTACTTTTTGCGCCTCCCCCCCCCTAACTTCAAATCCTGGATCCGCGCTTGCTTATATTCGGTTTGTATGTATGGTGACATATTTCTTCTGCCCCTATATGCATACTATTTTTCTACATACAAGATAACTAAATGTATGTCAAATTGCAACATTAATATGTTACATGCAACATGCAATATAACGATGTTAACACGAAACAAAAATTAGGTTGCATAAAAATAGGATTTTTTTCTAGTATATCTTGTATCGTCCAAATGTAACTCCCTTTGTGTAAGATACATTTTATTTATGATGGCAACTTTTTTTTTTTATTTTGACATGCAACTTTTTAAAGTCAACTTGCGAGAATATCTATAGTTTGTAATGTTGAGAAATACACATCATAAAAATAAGTTGCATATACATAAATAATTTGCTTGTCAAAATAACTTTTAAAATGAGTTGCATGTTTACCTAAATAAGTTTCGAGTTAACACAAAATGTTGCACGTTGACAAAAAAATATGCATGTCAACATTAGTAAATTGCATATCAACATTAATAAGTTACATGTCAACATAAATGTAAAATGTGAAAATAACAAACAGTGACCAATATCAGAAATCAAGTTAACACAACGAATCATGAACAGGGCAAAAAACGGACCCTTAGAAACACCAGATGTGGGATCAGGTGCCTAGGAGGAGTAAACATCCCCCTGTTGACCTGTCACACTCGTCATGAGCCCCATGCATAGATCAGGTATACAGAGTACTCCGTAGACAATTTTAGTATAAAAGCAATAACCTAACAAATGGTATCAAACAAGTCGGAGAAATACGATCCGACTATAGGCTGTATTTACAAACAATGTCATTATAACGACTGTAGAATTTGAGAAAAGCTGACTTTAAACGGGGATATTGAAATCTTTGTAACATCAATGTATTTGTCAACAGCTTGTTATGGTTTAAATATTGATTGTAGTCAGAGTTTGCTCTAACGCATCGAATCAGTTGGGAGACAAAAATACCATATGTAGTTGATGTTGGAGTATCACTACATAAATAATGGACGTTGATGATGGAAAGGCTGAAGTCATCCCGTTTGTCATACAGGTTAGTTTTATGTTGGTCCTTATAGTCTATAGGCAGTAAAACATCCAAATATGAAATAGATCTGACTGACTCGGTAGAGTCTAATTTCTAGTTCACGGTGATATATCGAGTCGACATATAAATAAATGAAAGTAACTATTGTTAATTGATAAAACGTTTTCGATATATCTAAATATCGAGTTGAGGGCCACAGCAGGGGTTTTCTTCTTTTCTAGTAGAAGTTTATGAATAAATTCTACTTCATAAGAATATAAAAAGGTCGGCTAAAAAGGGGCACAATTAGTGCACATTGCATTCCAACAGATTGTTGGAAGACCTGGTCTCCAAAGGCTACGTAGATATTGTCGGCAAGGAACTCTGTTTAATTATTTGCTTTCCAAAATAAAATGTTGCGTGTGAAATACCTAAGGAAGAAGCATGTTAACATAATTAAGTTGCTATGAACATTAATAAGTTGCATGAAATATGTAGATAACGATTAGTAATCATACTCAAAAGTCCATTAAAACACTAAAAAAAAAAATTGTGAGAAGAGCAAGCAAGAATCACTAAAAACATCAGATCAGAGGGATCAGATGCCATGGAGGAGTAAGCATTCCCCGTCGACTGGTCACACCCGCCATGTGCTCTTTGTCATTATCGGGTAAGCGGATAAACCCGTTCTCAATTTGGTATGAAATTAATGGCCAAATAATTTGTATGAAAGACAAGGTCACTGAATTTTCAAAATGTTAACGTCAAACGAGATTGTAGATACCCTTGTATCATCGGTATGTTTGTCAGTAGCATGTTCTTTTAAAAAAATTTTGGCATGAAGAACATGTTCTTACGTATCGAATCAACTGTGAGACATAAACCCCAAATGCATGTGATAATGGTATATTGTTACATAAGGGAAGTTGAAGCTAGAAAAGATGAAGTCATCATGTTTATCATAAAGTTTAGTTGTTTGTTACCACTGTATGTACCAGAATATTGATGGTCTTGATTAAAATACTGGGTCTATAAATAATAAAAATCTGTATTGTTTTGAAATAATTGAATACCAATTGTGTATCACGATGAAGAAAAAGGCATTAGAGGGAACGGTTGAGGAAGAATTCGTCGTTCTTCGTTGAATTTCATTACGAATGACCAACAAATAGAAGGGTGTAAAACGTATTTCCTGTGGTATATAATGCTTGTAACACACCCAAAGTTTTTTTTTAACACAAATGATTTGAATAGGATTTCGTATTCATATGTACGTCAGGAAAGTTGGATCATCATTAACTGGAGGAAAGTGACAGACGCAATAAATCATGCAGGAACTACAGGCAAAACACAATCGTAATATTTAAACGATTTTTTCACGCCTCCTTACCTAATGCAAGGCTTGCTTACGAACAAAGAGGAAAGGTTAAATTTCTGAATAGCAAAAAATCGTAAGTTTGTAAACTTTTCTTTAATAATTATATTTAGCCTTTGGTTGTATATTCTTTTTTCTGTTTTTGGTTATTTTATTTTGTTAGTTTGTATGTTTGTTTTGTTTTGGTCCTGATATAATGTAAAAAAACATATGTAAGTCAAATCATAGATACGACACAGTATATTGTAGGTACATCGGATGTTTCTATACAGAGTAATCGTTGTAGTATATTGTAGGGACATAGAATGTTTCTATACAGAGTAATCGTTGTATATATTGTAGGGACATAGGATGTTTCTATACAGAGTAATCATTGTATATATTGTAGGGACATAAGATGTTTCTATACACAGTAATCGTTCGTTGTATATTGTAGGGACATAAGATGTTTCTATACAGAGTAATCGTTGGTTGTATATTGTAGGGACATAGAATGTTTCTATACACAGTAATCGTCGAAGTATATTGTAGGGACATATGATGTTTCTATAGAGAGTAATCGTGGTAGTATATTGTAAGGACATAGGATATTTTTAAACAGAGTAATCGTTGTATATATTGTAGGGACATAAGATGTTTCTATACACAGTTATCGTTGTATATATTGTAGAGACATAGAATGTTTCTATACAGAGTAATCGTTGTATATATTGTAGGGACATAGGATGTTTCTATACAGAGTAATCGTTGTAGTTTTTTGTAGGGACATAGGGTGTTTTTCTACAGAGTAATCGTTGTATATATTGTAGAGACATAGAATGTTTCTATACAGAATAATCGTTGTAGTATATTGTAGGGACATAGGATGTTTCTATACAGAGTAATCGTTGTATATATTGTAGGGACATAGAATGTTTCAATACAGAGTAATCGTTGTATATATTGTAGGGACATAGGATGTTTCTATACAGTGTAATCGTTGTAGTTTTTTGTAGGGACATAGGATGTTTTTCTACAGAGTAATCGTTGTATATATTGTAGGGACATAGGATGTTTTTCTACAGAGTAATCGTTGTATATATTGTAGAGACATAGAATGTTTCTATACAGAGTAATCGTTGTATATATTGTAGGGACATAGGATGTTTCTATACAGAGTAATCGTTGTATATATTGTAGGGACATAGAATGTTTCTATACAGAGTAATCGTTGTATATATTGTAGGGACATAGGATGTTTCTATACAGAGTAATCGTTGTATATATTGTAGGGACATAGGATGTTTTTCTACAGAGTAATCGTTGTATATATTGTAGGGACATAGGATGTTTTTCTACAGAGTAATCGTTGTATATATTGTAGAGACATAGAATGTTTCTATACAGAGTAATCGTTGTATATATTGTAGGGACACAGGATGTTTCTATACAGAGTAATCGTTGTATATATTGTAGGGACATAGGATGTTTCTATACAGAGTAATCGTTGTATATTGTAGGGACATAGGATGTTTCTATACAGAGTAATCGTTGTTTATATTGTAGGGACATAGGATGTTTCTATACAGAGTAATCGTTGCATATTGTAGGGACATAGGATGTTTCTATACATAGTAATCGTTGTATATATTGTAGGGACATAGAATGTTTCTATACAGAGTAATCGTTGTATATATTGTAGAGACATAGGATGTTTCTATACACAGTAATCGTTGTTTATATTGTAGGGACATAGGATGTTTCTATACAGTGTAATCGTTGTATATATTGTAGGGACATAGGATGTTTCTATACAGAGTAATCGTTGTAGTTTTTTGTAGGGACATAGGACGTTTCTATACAGAGTAATCGTTGCATATTGTAGGGACATAGGATGTTTCTATACATAGTAATCGTTGTATATATTGTAGGGACATAGAATGTTTCTATACAGAGTAATCGTTGTATATATTGTAGGGACACAGGATGTTTCTATACAGAGTAATCGTTGCATATTGTAGGGACATAGGATGTTTCTATACAGAGTAATCGTTGTATATTGTAGGGACATAGGATGTTTCTATACAGAGTAATCGTTGTTTATATTGTAGGGACATAGGATGTTTCTATACAGAGTAATCGTTGTATATATTGTAGGGACATAGGATGTTTCTATACAGAGTAATCGTTGCATATTGTAGGGACATAGGATGTTTCTATACACAGTAATCGTTGTATATATTGTAGAGACATAGGATGTTTCTATACACAGTAATCGTTGTTTATATTGTAGGGACATAGGATGTTTCTATACAGTGTAATCGTTGTATATATTGTAGGGACATAGGATGTTTCTATACAGAGTAAGCGTTGTAGTTTTTTGTAGGGACATAGGACGTTTCTATACAGAGTAATCGTTGCATATTGTAGGGACATAGGATGTTTCTATACACAGTAATCGTTGTATATATTGTAGAGACATAGGATGTTTCTATACAGAGTAATCGTTGTTTATATTGTAGGGACATAGGATGTTTCTATACAGAGTAATCGTTGTATATATTGTAGGGACATAGAATGTTTCTATACAGAGTAATCGTTGTATATATTGTAGGGACATAGGATGTTTCTATACACAGTAATCGTTGTATATATTGTAGGGACATAGGATGTTTCTATACACAGTAATCGTTGTATATATTGTAGGGACATAGGATGTTTCTATACACAGTAATCGTTGTATATATTGTAGGGACATAGGATGTTTCTATACAGAGTAATCGTTGTTTATATTGTAGGGACATAGGATGTTTCTATACAGAGTAATCGTTGTATATATTGTAGGGACATAGGATGTTTCTATACAGAGTAATCGTTGTAATATATTGTAGGGACATAGGATGTTTCTATACAGAGTAATCGTTGTATATATTGTAGGGACATAGGATGTTTCTATACAGAGTAATCGTTGTTTATATTGTAGGGACACAGGATGTTTCTATACAGAGTAATCGTTGTAATATATTGTAGGGACATAGGATGTTTCTATACAGAGTAACCGTTGCAGTTTTTTGTTTCCATCTGACTCTATCGGCACCCACCAGCACAGCTTCACCAAAAGTTCTCCCTGACCCGGTCGTCAAGGAAACGTACATCCCTCTCACTGATGACTGGTGCTCGAAAAATTTTCATTTTTTTGTGAAAAGGTGCAAGGAAACCCCAACGGAATGCTGTGACACTGTGGTGGACTATCGCTATGTTCAGACAGGAAACCCATGCACTGGTCCCAACACGGACTGTGACATCGGCAACTATGGAGTTTTTATCACCTGTTGTAAAAACGGGATTGAAATGAAACCCGTATATTAGCCTTCAGATTTAGTCTTCAGAAAGACTTTTTAATGAATTCCATCCTTTATGGTAATGTATTATACTACAGATGAAAGCACTCAATGTGATTAGATGTATTTTAATCTTAAACTATTCATCTTGTTGTTAGGTCATATTCTGATTTAATAGTTTTATTTTCATCTTACTGTGGAGCCAAGTTCAAATAAAACATTCAAATGTATAAAATTATTGAATTTGAATTTACTGCCGTTTCTCTGTTCATCTAATTTTTAAGATAGATCAAATTTGTTTTCGTTATTATTAGATTTACTGAAACATGGGCGTTATTTTCAGGGATTTTTTTAATCATTAAGCCATAATAAACAATATATTTGAAAATACATTTATTCCATCATAAATATTTTTAAAGTAACATTTCACTGAATTCTAATTTTTAAAGGCCTGTTTCAATTTTTATAAGGCATGTTTTTATTAAAAGAAAACTATGAACAGATAGATCTAGAGGTAAACAGATAGGTAAAACCTCATTATTGATTGGATTTCCGGAAGGATAGCCTACCTGGTATGTCAGTGAATAAAGACGATGTTTTAAATAGGTGATTACTTATAGAAATCAGTTTATGAAATGGGAATTAATTATCCTTAACACATAAGCCAAAACAGTCTTTTGGCTTCGGCTAAGTATAGTTTTCGTTATCTACACACTGCTCTGAAAACAGTGAGTAGTTGTGTTCCATGGCGTTTAGGTTGCGTTACTTTGTGTTTTTCCCTCATATGATATTCCCTCATTTAATACTGCGTCTACAGGATTAGCGTCTTCATATGAGTAGATATTTCAAAAACTGTTTCAGACCAAAAAAAAAAAAAAAAAATTTCGATTTTTGTTTTCAAATAAAACAATACGATTGCTAAACAATTAAAATATAAAATGGAACAAAAAGCAATTAGATTTACTAGTATGTAAAGAAATCTTTTGGATAAGGTGATAAAAAATAGCTCTTGTTTACACATACTTGTATTAATTTAAGGCAAAATTCCCAGTTGGAAGTGTTGCGTAAATATTTTTTTTATCTTTGTAAAAAGGACAAACAAGTAAAAAAAAAAATGTTATTATTATTTCAACTTTCCCACAAGTTCAATCTGAATTATCTCTGACTAATATATTCTTTGTAAAAAAGGTGAAAAACTATATAAGCATACTATAGTTAACTCTAAAGTTGTGTTTATGCTGTTTGCGTAATGTTCTGGCGTAGGGGTAGAGGTGTTAAGCATTATAATTAAGCACGCTTTTAAGATTACTGGATGCTTCATTCATCTCACTGTTTCACACTAGTGAATTAATTCACTTTTTAAATTAAAAAAAAATGTGAAGATAAAGAACAGCGATCAATCTGATATCCCTGGAAATAATACGAATCATGAACAGGACAAAAATAAGGACCCCTGGAAACTCCAAAGGTGGGGTCAGATGCCTACAAGGAGAAAGCATCTCCTGTCGACCGATCACACCCGCAATGAGCCCTTTATAATGATCAGGTAAATGGAGTAATCCTTACACTCCAAAGGTGGGGTCAGATGCCTACAAGGAGAAAACATCCCCTGTCGACCGATCACACCCGCAATGAGCCCTTTGTAATGATCAGGTAAACAGAGTAATCCTTAGTCATTCGGAACAAAAACAATGGCCCAACAGTTTGAATGAAACATGTCAGTCAAACTTCGACACAATGAAAGGTTGTGTAGCAACCATAAAACGACCAAAGTGATTTCAAAATACTGACTTTAAACGAGATTCGGGAGAGCCCTGTAACATAATATTATCTGTCAGTAGCCTGCCTCAGTTTAAAAAAAAATGATCGTACTTGAAACATAACATTGCGTACCGAATCAGACGGGAGACGTAAACACCATACAGGTGATAATGGTGTCATACTGTAATTTTGTAATTTATCGAGTGGTAGTAAATACAAAAATTATAATATGACAACTGTTGTTCAAAAAAAAGTACAAAAAATATTATTTGAAATTGGTATATCACTAAATAAATAGGGGACGTTCATGATGGAAAAACTGAAGTCATCCCGTTTGTCTATTGCTACATGCTACTGCATACCGAATCAGTTGGAAGACATAAAAATCATTGGCATATCACTACATAAACAGAGTAAGTTCACCATGAAAAAGCTGAAGTAATCCAGTTTGTCATATAGTTTAGTTGTTAGTTGGTCCTTCACGTCCATATTTCAAGTTCGCTGGGATGTACCTGATTGAAGATATCTATTGTTATTCGATAAAGAGTTGTCGGTATATCAAAATATTGAACTGCAGGCCAGAGCCATATTTTCATTCTTCTCATGAAAAAAGTACAACAAGAGGCCTATGGACTACAACACTCACCTGAAATTTTTGATCCCATGGTGTAGCCCTACTCTACCTCCAATGGGTCATAACTTGAATCCCCATATCACTGAAATTCTTTAATATTAATTTGACTTATTTATTTTATATTATTTTTTATTTTATTTCACCATGGTCCACTGTTCTGGAGTAGATTTTTTAAGGTTTATTGTTTCCTCTCTGCATTAGATAACATTTCATTCCTTACTTTAGTCCCACCCAAAGGGCCAAAACTTGATTTAAAAAAATATTATTCACATATCTTGAGAATGTTTTGCATATAAATACGATTTATTAGGGCCTGCTACACGTGTTTATATTAAATTCCTTTATATTTTGATGCAATACTTTGACCCAGTATCATGATAATATGATCACAATATATTACATCAGACCCCTATATCACAATACTCTCACAGTGGCCACAATTTGAACAAATTCAAATTTGTACTACCTGAGAATGCTTGAATATTACTTGCATAATTCCTCTGCTGTTCCTAAAAAGATTTTAATTTTTTTCCTATATATACGCATGTAACACTTTGATCCCTTGTTGTGGCCCCATCATACGTACCCCTTTCGGCCATGAATTCAACAAATTTGAATCTGCACTACCTGAAGATACAATAGTACTTGCCTATTAACATGACTAACATGAAAAGAAAATTTTTGAAGACTTTCACTATAATTTCCATGTAAACATTTGATTCCTTGTTGAGGACCCACCAGGGGCCGAAATTTACTGAACAAATTTGAATCTGCACTACCTAAGGGCGCATACAAGCCTAGCTTTTCACAAAAAGAAAAGTTCTTTAGACTTTTATCTATTCCAGTGTGAAACTTTGTTCACCAATTGTGGTCCCATCCTACCCCAAGGGTCATGATTTGAATAAACTTGAATCTGCATTACTTGAAGAAGATTCCCTCTTAAAACATGACTAATCATACTCGTTATCTTCACCTTCTTTCGAACAAACTTGAACCTGTGCTACCTGAAGATGGTTTTATATTACCCATTATATGACTTTTCATGGCCTTTCTGTTCTTAAGAATATTTTTTGAAAATATTTCCTATACACACCCATGTAGAACTTTTATCCCTATTGTAGCCTCATCTTACCCCTGGGGCCATGATTTAAACAAATTTAAATCTACATGTCCAGAAGCTAAAACTATTCAGCTGTCCATCGGAATTCCAACATATTGTTGGAAGACCTCGTCTCCGAAGACTACATAGATATTCTCAATGAGGACCTCAAGTATCTTTTTAATATCAATTTTAGAGTACTTGTGCGTAAAATCACAATGATTTTTAAGATGACCAATCAAAAGATACGAAAAAATTCAGAATTTCAATTTTATTGAAGAAGCAGAACTTTGTAAATGATGTCAAAAAGCCTAATCTTAAATTCTTCCTGAGAAATGGTTGTATAAAGTTTGAAAAGTCTTGTTTTAATGTAATTGGTTTTGAAAGAAAAAATCTCATTTCAAATTTTCCAGTAATTCTTTGGTGTTTTTGATTAAAGCCACTTCTTGGATATATTATACTACAGTGCCTTTACAATTTCTCTTTGCTGGAGTTATTATTTTCTGTGATGAGCGACGATCATTGTTTATCAGTAACTTGAATTTGATCATAAATTGCGTTTCTGTTGATTTGGTTGGGAGAGGAGTTTTAAAGGATTTTGATTGCTGTCCAATCCTGATCTTCTTACTTAAAATATTAATTAAAACTAAATTCCTAACGTCATTATCCATTTACACAACTTTCTCATAATCATTTGATTTTCTCTTTTAACAAAGCAACAAATTTCAGTACTGTTTTTCACAATAAAGTATCTTGTAATTCACAACGCAATGTATAACTACTTCAATCAAGACGTTTAAATCATTCTCAAGTACCTATGTAATTGTCTCGCTTTCCTTACAATCCTACGGTGGTATTTGTTAATGACTCCATAATGAGCCAGTCTGATGTATTAGGTTGTTTATTTTACAATGAACTTTTAACCCTATTAATAAACAGTTACTCCTTCCTCCTCGAGGCAAGAAGATTCTACTGATGTATTCTACAATAATCAAAACAATAAAACAACCATTAAACAAAGACAACCTGTACAACACAAAGGGCAAGGGATCTTATAGATCCAAACATAAACAAGTCATATGGGCATAATTGCTAAAAAAAAATACAAAAAACAAAAAAAAAACAAGGTACATATAAAATACAACCAGCTAAACTTTCAAAATATCCACTGTTAAAAATACGAAATGAATGATCACCCTATGCATACATGTACAGATTTTTTGATTTTTGGATCACATTAATATATTACTAAATTTAAATTGAATAAAAATGTGAAAGCCTCAATCATAAGCACAGAAAGGTATAAACAATGATATTCATTATATACATGTACTCTATACAAAGTTCCATAACTCTATATTTTGTATCCATAATGTAACTGTAAATTAGTACAGTTATTTTAAAAGGATAATACGTCATATGCAAAGTATGTCTCCATAATATGAATTCCAGTGAAATTTTAGTTCTACAAAACAAATTAATGAATGTCATAAAACAATTTTCCTGGAATTTAAGAGAAACACCGAAGCTAGAATATTTTCTCTGATACACTTTGATAATGCCAAAGATAGTTTTCAAGATGTTCATTTCGGTTATTGATGTCAACTATAGTAGTGATTAAAATAACTTTGCTGTTGATGTCCACGCATATGAAACACAAAATAAAGGCTATCCAGTGTTCTCAAAACCATGATTATCTGTTTTTAGATTAACTGACCAATAGACTGATGAGATGTAAAGAACTCATGAGAACTCCCATTAAATTAGTAACAGTCATTAAGACCGATGAACCCTCATTCAACCCTGGGTAGTACAGTCTCATGCCCCTCGATAAACCAGAGCCGTGAATGAACCACTATGCCTGTCGTAAGCTCGGGCAAATCGACTTTCTCTGATACACTTTGATAATGCCAAAGATAGTTTTCAAGATGTTCATTTCGGTTATTAAAGTTTTCAACTATGGTAGTGATTAGAATAACTTTCCTGTTGATGTTCACGCACATGAAACACAAAATAAAGGCCATCCAGTATTCTCAAAACCATGATTAGTTGTTTTTTTTAGATTAACTGACCAATAGTTAAATATGAGATAAGTTTTTACTTATTATGCAAAATAAATTGAAAATTACTGCCATATTAATTCTGATGCAAACAGGAACAGTTTATCTTCACCCTCGGGGCGACGATTCTTCTTTTGCCTGAAGTTTCAGGATGGAAAAGCAGATAAAATATTCCCGCACAAACCACGTGACCCACAATTCCTATAGGGGCCACTACCAGCACGTAACAATCCGGTGGCGGGAATCTGTCGTCTGCTAACCAAATAATCAGTGCCACCATCACCATGTTCTCTGCGTAGTACACGACGTAATAAATGAAAGTCAAGTATCTGGTTTTCCCTTCCTTCAGATTGATGAAAGAAAACAAACCAATGAATCCCAAAACCAGTAAGAAAGCGTGCTGCAGCATTGGAACCCCACATCCTTTGGATCCGCTCTTTTGAGCCTCTGTTTGGTTTTCATCTTGACCAGCGTCACCGTTTTCTGCCGATCTAGCATCTGGCGTCTCTTCCGTTGGATCTTCGCAAATTCCCGCCAATTCAGCCTTCATAAAACGGTACAAAAGCGTGACAAAAATGACATGTAAAGCTGCAACGATAAAGGACCAGGGTTTGAAGTAGGCTGCACAGAGGCCAAGCAATATGTATCTTGGACCCAGCTCGAACATTCGCCACAGCAGATAGAATAGGGAAGAGACATAGTCTACATTTGATTTAGCTTTCTGAGCTTTCCTGTTGGCGCGGTAATAAGTTGTGATGATTAGTGATGTAGACACCCATGAGGACATCAAAGAAGACACTACAAATAAACCGTTTAAATTTAAACTTAATATGTAGAAGAGAGTTCATATGTATAACATGATGATCTTTTAATTTGTTTGATCATGAAGAAAAAAAATTATCATTTATTATCTAAAGATTTTGATTTTTTTAAACGAACTGATCAGAACCAAATTTTAAAACGCTTGAGTTGAAAACTTACGGATCGGGAACTCGGTAACAGAGGATTGACTGTTGGCTGCTATAAATATCTGTAACAAAAGCTGAAGCGCGGACTCCAGGAACCCGTCAATCAGACCCAGAATCGTGGCGTCTCGTTTCTCCTCAGTGGCACGCTTCCTTAGTGTACAGGCTTTATCATTTTTACCATGCTTCTCTAAGCGTAAACTATGGGCTACATAATAAATGTACTCTCCTTGCCTAAAATCAGAAAATATTACATTCTAATAATTTCTGCACCTAGACACTAAGTTTATACTTTTAACGTATGTACCATGTAAATATTGCCTACAAACAAGCGGTGTTTATTGCCGGCCTAAAAATGTTTCTTAATCCCCCAACTCTTCTACAGAGTTAGTAGCCCCCCTCCTCCCCCCCCCCCCCACCAACCAGTTCAATTTTTAGAGCGTCATGATACTATAACACATTTGTTAAGTTGGAGCTTTCAGAAAATTTATATAATGTCAAAGCTGTTAAAGCTAACTGCATATAAGTATATACTCGTCAGAAGGGCCCAGCAATATTTGCTTACCTCCAGAGTCGACCAAGCTGGAAAAACGACAGTGTGATTCTAAATATGTACAACGTTTTGGCGTGTTCGTATTTATTCCTTTTATCCCTCCTGTAATACATCTTGTACCAGATCACGGAAATTATTCCCGATATGACGGAGGGTACAATTATAAACCCGGCTGTTAGATACAGGTGTGTTAATCTATTCTCGTAATAATAAAATACCAACAGACGAATGTCAGTCCCATAGTCCACAGCGAATGTAAAAAACCCAATAAATGCCAGCACAATATCCTTGATCTGGAATCTGGGTGGCCAGTCTAACTTGGTTGAAGGTTTAGTTTTGATTGTTAGGCAACAGAACGTCTTATTTCCATCGTCCTCCCCGCTGTCTCCGGCTTCCTCTTTGTGTTCAATAAGGGGTTTCTGTACATCCTCGGGTTTGTCCGGTGCGGTCTCTGGTGACGAGTTCTGGGTTTTATTTTCACTTTTTTCCTGTCCACCTCCCGGATTGTCGGATGCCTCTGGTTTGTTTAGTTCCAAATCTGACTTTGAATCTGTAGTATCTACCCCTGGAACAGCGTCTACATTTTTGGTGTCTTCAACAGAATAAAGTCTGCGAGCCATGGCCGCCTTGGCGAGGTTTTTGGCTTTCTCTGACTGACCAGCATACCGGACACTGGTATCCAGAGGGAGATCCATAAAACCTGGTGGAAGTCCAGAAGGTTCAGTCATCTTCTCTTCCTTGGAAGTTAGGACTTCTTTATCCTCCATCTCTAGAACCGAAAAAGACGTAAATATTCCTCAGATATTGAAAGCGCAAGTAGAACTATTGGAAAAACACAGGTGACTCAGATTATGGGGTTTACCTGTGGTTCTATGGAACTACACTCCGACCATAAAATTATCAGCACTGAAAAGCTTACAAATATTCAGCTCGAAGCTAGTTTATTTATTCAGGATGTTATCTAAGTATGGTAACCTGATACTTCTCATGTACGACTTATGCATAGTACGAACACATGATTGCTTTTCTTAATATGTTTACTTTCTGTCTAGTTATCGGTCATGTTATTTCATACATTCTGTTTATTTATATCAAGGTTTATGTAGTTTCTATTTATAACAAGAAGCCAGGTGTGCGGAATTCCCCATTCAATTTTACTGCGGATAGCAATTAAGATAAGTATTTATACTTAAGGCATAATCGTGACAAATGAATGAAAGAAATTGCCCATTATATTTCATTCCGAAGATATAAAAACACTCTACACCATATGCCACAATTAAAAGGAATTTTTATATTAAAAGTCACAAACAGACTACTTTATTGATATAAATAATTTTCCCGGAGCCGTGACTAGGTCATGTTATAGACCTTATTGATATGAGAGTGAAATAAAAAAAAAATCATTAATGTGCATACCTTATATGTATAAAAAATGAGAGGAAAAAATGAAAGCATTTGAGCATAGAATAATTTTTCTAATTATAATGCCTATTTTATTTCTTTTTGTAAATGGCATTGAATTCTCAATGATGACGCCATTGTAATCATTTGCAGTCTGAAATTTTGCAAAATATTTTTCCATGACTAAATTGATAATTGTATTCTTATACAAAATAAATATGTTAATTAAATTGATATCTAATAGCAAAGGGGGTAGGTGAACAAGGCGTGCAGAATGTTATAGTATGAGAAAATGGTCCTTTTTTCCCTCTTTAGTGTGTATGTTTACTATTTCATAGGCAAACAATTTCAATCTTCGTGAGATTTTTGCAAATTGTGGAAATTTACATAAAGCATATTTTAATGTTAGATGAAATATCAAAGAAAATTTTGTTATTATTGTGATTTAATTTTTCACCTTCAAGTTTGTTGCACTTTAAGCACTTCGCTTAATTGCTTTGTTCGTCCATCTTCTTTATAATTTTTAGAGAAGCTTCAGTTTAAACGTATTAGAAATACTGAATTAAAAAAAAAACATTAAGAGGAGTTATATATTATTTACATCAATGCTTAATTTGATTAAAATATATTTTTCTGTAAAACAAAAAAAAATCTACAAGAATGGAAAAAAATTCTCGCCACTAAAAAGTTCCTTTGTAGTTATACAATACAATAGCCAGACAGTCGAACGTGTCATAGGAAAGGTGATACATCACACACACAGAGAGAGAGAGAGAGAATTACACGTAGGTCTGGATTGTCGTGCATTCCAATCAAAAACACAGATGATTTAGTAATATAACGGTTTTCTATGTTCTCAATTGATTGATAAGTTACACATGTATATACTATTTACTTCTAAAATTAGATATATCTAATTTGTGATTACGTCATTGACAAGTTAAAGTATTTTGATTACTAAGGCAAATGATATGTTTCGATATTTTCATTCTTACTGTCGTTATTTTATAGCCCTTACAGTTACAGTAGATTATGATGGTGTTTCCTCTGGTTCAACTAGTGCTTCATTGTTAGTGATTTTTTTTTTTTTTGTTTTTTTTTGTTTTTTTGATATGTTCATTACATTTCATATTGAAAAAGGCAGAAGAATTCCATGACATTATCATAACTGCTGCTAACATGTCATTAAATAAGCCAGGTCATATAAGTAAGAATATCAAAAAGCATAAAAATAAAAAGTGGTTTGATTCAGACTTGCAAACAATGCGCCGTAGATTGATTGCGCATGGAAAAATTTATAGCATATTTCCAAAGGATCCAGTTGTTAAGAATCATTACTACAGACTTCTTAGAGAGTACAATAAATTAAGAAAATTTAAGCGTAAAAATTTCCAAAACTCCATTCTAAATCAACTTGATGCACTTCAAAATAAACAACCAAAACAATATTGGAAATTAATTAATGACCTAAAAGATAATAATAAAGACAATTCTGCTGCAAACATAGATTCTGAAACGTGGGTAAATCATTTTCGCAACCTTCATTCTGTTTGTGATAACTCTTTTAAATCAAGGATACAAGAGCTAGATTCAATTTTGGCTGACATGGAGAAAAATCCATCCTTTAATGAACTGGATTTCAAGATTTCACGTAAGGAAATTGTAGATGCAATAGCAAATTTAAAATATGGAAAAGCCAAGGGGCTTGATTTGATATCTAATGAAATGTTAAAACATAGTCAGTCCTATTTACTCTCCTGTATACATAAGCTCTTTAATAGTTGTTTCACATATGGTATTTATCCTCAAACTTGGAGTAACGGGTACACAAGTCCAATTTTTAAGTCTGAGGATCCAAACAACTCTGCAAATTATAGGGGTATTACAATTACCAGCACACTTGGCAAGTTATTCAACAGCATTCTGAACTCTAGATTAGATAAATTTCTTAAAGAACATAATCTAATTCACCAATCTCAAATGGGTTTTACCAAAGATGCAAGAACATCTGATCATCTATTTGTGCTAAGGTGTTTAACTGATAAATACTGTAGCTTAAAAGAAGGAAGACTATATGCTTGTTTTATTGACTTTCATAAAGCTTTTGACAGTGTTATCCACACAGGATTAAAGCTCAAATTACTTCACATGAATGTTGGATCTAAATTTTATAATATTATAAGTAATATATATAAGAATAGTCAGGCATGTGTGAAAATTGGAAGGTTCTTCTCGGATCCATTTCCAATAGCTATAGGTGTCCGTCAAGGGGATAACTTGAGCCCTTCTTTATTTAAAATATTTATAAATGATTTTCCATCATATTTAGATTCATGTATTGATGAAGTATCACTTCAGACAAAAACTGTTAACTGTTTAATGTATGCAGATGACATTGTTATTTTATCAGCATCAGCTAAAGGTATACAAGCAAGACTTTCTAAACTTGAAAAGTATTGCTCTGATTGGTGTTTAAAGGTAAACATTCAAAAAACTAAAGTCATGATCTTTAATAAAGCTGGTCGTAATTTCACGCAAAAACTAATGTTTCAAAATAATAGGATAGACTGTGTATCTAGGTACAAGTATCTTGGAGTTCACCTAACTGCATCTGGAAGTTTTCATGTAGCAAGATCAGAGCTTTATAAAAAGGCGTTAAAAGCATATTATAAACTGAGAAATGATTTTATTAATTTGAATCCTGGGATTAAAACGAATATACATGTATTTGACTCTACTGTTAAACCAATTCTTTTGTATAATGCAGAGGTGTGGGGTGCAAGTAATATCAATACTAAAAGATTCCTAAAATGCCAAAAGTTAGAAGTTGAAGACTGTTTCAGAAATCTACTTTGTGAAAGAATACACCTTAAATTCTGTGTAAATATATTCTTGGTGTTCATAAGAAAAGTACAAATTTTGCAGTATTGTCTGAATTGGGAAGGTTCCCCCTGCATTATGATATTGTCAAATTGTTAATCAAAAGTTGGTATAGATTTGAAAATTTGTCCACAGAATTTCCTTTACTTAAAGATGCATATGAATGTAGTAAAAATCTTTATGTACATGGAAAGAACTCATGGTTCGCATTTGTACAGAAATTAAGAAATATACTGAATATCAAAGATGAAGTAATTTGTTATGGGAAGCATAAATTTAAGTCACTCTGTCATAAAACCATATTAGATTATTATATAAAAAATTGGTATACAAGTCAACAAAGTTATACTGATGGTAAATTAAGCACATATGTAAAACTCAAACAAAATTGGGGTTATGAGAATTATTTATCAGTAGTTAAAAATTTTCATCACAGAAAATCTCTATGTAAATTAAGAATTTCTTGTCACAGATTGCAAATTGAAGTGGGAAGATTTACCAACATCCATCGTGAAGATCGATTATGCAATAGATGTAACTCTAACAGTGTAGATGATGAAACTCATTTTCTCATAACATGTAAAAAAATATGATCATCAAAGAAAAGAAATTTTTCAATCAATTAAAAGTAAATTTCCAAATTTCTCGGCATTAGATGATGAACAAAAACTTTTTTGGTTACTCAATACTGAAGACAAAGAAACTCTTAATTCTGTGGGCAAATTCATAAATGATAACATGTTGTAGTAGCCATACAGTTTTATATATAGTATTCCCTTTAACAGAAATAGTACAATATTATTGTTGAAATGAGTAATGTCATTTACAAGTTGTTATACTATCCATTGGCATATCTTTTCTTTATTATTGTAATAATTTCATACTTGTCTGTTATGGGCTCTAAATTAGAAAATAAATGTTCTGTTCTGTTCTATTGTGTTTTTTTTTTTCCAAAAAGGTCCCTATCCCTTTCCTAAAATTTAAAAAATTGTTCTACTTTTTATTTTTTGAGGCCATTTCAGACAATCAAGGCGTGTTCTGGAGGTGGCTACTTCAAAAGTTTTCAACAATAAAAGACCCCAATCATTACTCATTAATCAATCGTACTGTATATTAAAAAATGTTGTTTAACAGACCTTGACTTGAGAATAATTATAGATTTCTGGAATATTTATTCTTGTAATGAATTACATTTTAATGTTATCCCTATTTGGTGATCCCTAGTTCTCCCGTCTCCGCTAACAATCTACGTCATCAGACACACCTTTTCATCACAGTTCGATAAATATAAACTAAAGAGTATGGTTTTTCACTTTCTGTGTGTCTTACATTCAATTGCTAACATTGCCCCTTTTAATACTTGTTTTGTATACCAAAAGATTGCAACCTGCATTATTAGTCCCCTACCGGTGAAACCGGAGGGGACTATAAGCTGTCCCTCTGTCTGTCTGTCATTATTTCCCATTTGCTTTTCCGCACTATTTTCTTAAACGCTTGC